CTGTGTATAACTTTGACCTAACAGCAATTTCTGTTAAATGTTTATTTCAGAGAGTTGCAGATCGACTCTATGGTGTATATAAAGTGCATGGGAATTATGGGCGAGTTTTCAGGTAAGCACAAACTTTCAAAATAAACAACGGTTAGGTCTAATTACCTCTTTGCAGGCCTGGTAAGCTGTGTCACACTATAATCCTACTACTCTTGGAGCTGAGGTGGATGGATTACCTGAATTCAGGAGATGGAGACCAGCCTGAACAAGATCGAGACCTTGTCTCTAAAACTAGCCACATGTTGTGGTGGGTGCCTGTAGTCCCAACTACTTAGGAGGCTGAGGCAAGAGGATCACTTGAGCCCAAGAGTTTGAGGTTACTGTGAGCTCTGATGCCACAGCACTCTACCAAGAGCGACAGAACAAGACTCTCTCAAAAAAAAAAAAAGAAAAGAAAAAATTAGCTCTTTGCCTAGAAGCAGTCATTCTTGGAAATTTATGCATCTGGAGAGGTTTTTTTTGGTTGTTAAATGATGTCTCATAGTAGTGGTTTTCATGCTTTCAGGTATCTGGTTTTTGTTCTAAAGCCTTTAGCTGGGTACAGTGGCTCATGCCTTTAACCCCAGCACTGCGGGAGAATGAGGTGGGAGGATTGCTTGGGCTCAGGAGTTTGAGACTTGTCTGAGCGAAAGTGAGACCCTGAAAAAAATGAAAACCCAGGCCAGAGCCACCTGTAATCCCTGGTGCTTCTGGAGGCTGAGACAACAGGAGGCCCACAGATGAGGTCTGAAGTAGCCACTGCACTTGGCTCAGGGCCTTGTCTCAACAAAAAAAAACCAAGGCAACTGTTTTAAAGCCTTTCTTTAAATAAAACTTAATGAGGAAATTCAATATATTGAGCAAAAAAAGTGAAACTATGCTGAATGAAACGGGGGGTGGGCTTTTTACTTCCTTGGTAGAATGTGTAAGAAGATTCCATTGGAAATTACTGTCTTGTAGAATTGGTCACTTTATCTTTTATTTGTTTTTGCCATTTTATAATTTATCTTTTGCAAGATGAGTTTTTTCAGCCTTGGGATAATTTTAATGATAGAATGTTTGTGCGCATAACTTGCATATTTTGGTTATTTTAAACCATTTTGTGAATTTTCATGTGTTCATCATTTTGGTTGTGATCTTTTAGAAATTACTATTCAGATCTTTTTATAATAAAAATATTGGGTGGTGCCCATGGCTCAAGGAGTAGGGTGCCAGCTCCATATACTGGGGGTGGCCAGTTTAAGCCCAGCCCCTGCCAAAATGCCAAAGAAAAAAAGAAAACTATCCTCACATATATTCCATTATAAATCCTTTTGATTGAATTAATTTATAAATAACATCTTATTTTACATTGTTGAAAAGTTAGTACATTCACATAGAAAAAAATTCAAAAGCAACAAAAAGCTATGCAGTGAAGTCTCCTCACCCTTGTCTGCCAACCACCCAGGTGTCCTGGTCTAAGACAACTAATACCGGTTCTTAGTTTCCAGTGTATCCTAATCGTGAAATGTAGCACTGTAAACATAATATATTGGCTCACAAACAAATACATTTTTCATTTTTTTAAACACAAAGAAGCAGCATGTTGTATGCATTGTTTTGTTCATTTGCTTTAACTTGCTTTTTTCACTTAAAGAACTGCTCTCCAGGATGCATTGTTAGCAGATTAAGTAACTATGTTGGGTTTTACTAAGCAGAAGTATCATAATTTAATCAGTCTTCTCTTAATAATTATTTTCAGTCTTTTAAAAATGCTGCAGTCTGCGATGCCCAAGGATGGCAGGTTCAAACCCAGGTCGGGCCAGCTAAGCATTGATAACTATGATAAAAAAAAAAAATAGTCGGGCATTGTGGTGAGCAACTATAGTCCTAGCTACTTGGGAGGCTGAGGCAAGAGAATCGTTTGAGCCTAAGTTGGAGGTTACTATAAACTGTGATGCCATGGCACTCTACCCAGGGTGACATAGTGAGACTCTGTCGCACAAAAATAAAATAAAATAAAAATGCTGCAGCAAATGTTTATGTTATTTCACGCATATCTGAGTATATATGTAGGATAAAATTCTAGAAGTAGAATTACTGAGTCCAAGGATAGTTATAGTTTTTGTAGAAACTATTACCCATACAGAAAATGTTAAATTTCCACCAGTAAAGTATTAATACCTGTTTTCTCTCACCCCTGCCCAAACAGTGTGTACTAGTCTTGTGGTGAAAAGTAGTTTCTCATTGTACAGATGGTCCCAGATTTATGATAGTTTCACTTTTGATGGGTTTACTAGGAACAT